TCTTCAGTCTCTCTCTGCACTCTCCTTGTCAATCTCCCGGGCTTTGATATTTATATTTCCCCTCCCACATGCTACCTTTCTTTGCTGATGTTTGCTATTGTACCCATCCCTCAGTTTATTGTTTGGGGATACCCCAGAGTATATGACTACACATCATGTGTCCTGTACTGTATGTTTTGATAATCGGAATTTCAACTTGCCTATAAATTCCATATCTTGCAGCACATTACAGGACACGGGTCCCTCCCTTCTGTTTCTCCTTATTGCCTGCTACAAAACTAGAGTCTCACAGAGAGGGTGGGGTTATGTGAGGGTGCAGTGAGAAGCATTTCCAGCAAAGTGTTTGCTAGTGTCCTGAAGGTAGTGATATATACCCATGATCTATAACTTTACTATCTGTGTCCTGTGCTGTACTCCAAGATATGAAATTTGCAGGTAAGCAAAATTTACTATTTTTTTTAGGTATGCTGTGTGAATGGAAATGCATAACAAACATTTAATGGAGGGTTCTCAAATATGACTGCAATAGTGGAAATATACTCTAGGGAGTTATGAAGATGCAATATTTACTTTTAAAGTAGTTATTGCTGTGAATTCCATTGATGGTGCTCTGCTTTGTATGAGAAACCAATATCTGAGACATGTCAGAATAAAGGGGGGATTGTGTACAGCTGAATCAGATTAGGAAACACACAATATACAGAGGAGAGGGGCCTGGTGCTCATTGCTGACTATAACTCCCCTATAGGAGTGCTAATGCTAAGGGCATCAGCCTGTGGTGGAACTACAGCCAGCACTGACCAAAAAAAAACTGTTCTCTTTTTGCATGGTCATAGCACAGATCACAGCAGAACCAAGGTCCCCTGGGGGATTCAAACATTATTTACAGTTGTGGCAATAATGTTTGAACAAAAAGCTCCCTTTGATAATGTTTATTGAAGCTTGATGATGGTATTTGTAAATGGGTTTAAAGATCCATATTATTTCAACAAACCATATAGATGATAAATATTTTTCTATATTTAATCATAGACCATATCATTTGAAACTTTTTTTGCACTCTCTTTTATAGAATCTGGTTTAAAAATGTTGGGTGTTGGTCTGAAATATGTTGTTGATAAAGAAAGAAGGGGCCCTGTCTTGATATACAATATTTATTGGATATTTTTTGCTGTCCGTATCCCCATATTGGGTGTTTCCAACACTTCCTATACTTCCTATCCAATACACTGGTCACTGGAAATGAGGGGTCTTTTTATTGGTGACCTAGATAGCAGTAAAACCTTACAGAGAGTCCAACTCTTCCCCACACAAATCTAAAAAAAAAAAAGTTTTCATTTGGGCTCAGCTTAGAAACATGTTATAATTTGATTTTTTCTGGAAGATGTTTCATGATTAGAAGACAGTTGATCAGGTCCTAAGGCAATGCCAGCCTGAGCAGGCTTTCACATCCTCTGCTTTATTTGCAGGTACGTGGCAGTGCATTTTCTCATAGGGCTGTTTGTATACCATACATGCTCAGAAAATATACGTATTATGTGGATGCCAATGTACAGTACATGTACAGTTGCAAGAAAAAGTATGTGAACCCCTTGGGATTACGTGGAGTTTTGCATGATGTTGCCATGGTTTAATTGCACATAACATGTAAACATTCACAGTGCAGGGAGGAAAAAGTATGTGAGGCCCTAGCTTAATGACTTCTCCCAGAGCTAATTGGAGCCAGGAGTGAGCCAACCTTGACTCCAATCAGTGTGATGATATTGGATGTGTTGCTGACAGCTGTCCTGCCCTTAAAAAACACACACCTGTTTTGGGTTTACTGGTTTCAAGAAGCACTGTCTGATGTGAACCATGCCTCGCAGAAAAGAGCTCTCAGAAGACCTACGATCAAGAATTGTTGACTTGCATGAAGCTGGAAAGGGTTACAAAAGTATCTCCAAAAGCCTTGATGTTCATGTGTCCACGGTAAGACAGACTGTCTACAAATGGAGAAAGTTTAGCACTGTTGCTACTCTCCCTAGGCGTTGTCGTCCTGCAAAAATGACTGCAAGAGCACAGCGCAGAATGCTGCAAGAGGTAAAGAAGAATCCCAGAGTGTCAGCTAAAGACCTACAGAAATCTCTGGCACATGCTAACATTTTTGTTGACACATCTACAAAAAGGAAAACATGAAACAAGAATGGAGTACATGGAGAGGACACCACGGAGGAAGCCATTGCTGTCCAAAAAGAATATTGCAGCACGTTTGAAGTTTGCAAAAGAGCACCTGGATGTTCCACAGCACTACTGGCAAAATATACTGTGGACAGATGAAACCAAGATTGAGTTGTTTGGGAAGAACACACAACACTATGTGTGGAGAAAAAAAGGCACAGCACACCAACATCAAAACCTCATCCCCACTGTAAAACATGGCGGAGGGAGCATGATGGTTTGGTGCTGCTTTGCTGCCTCAGGGCCTGGATGGATTGTTGTCATTGATGGGAAAATGAATTCCAAAGTTTATCAAGACATTTTGCAGGAAAACGTACGACCATCTGTCCGCCAACTGAAGCTCCGCAGAGGATGGGTGATGCAACAGGACAATGACCCAAAGCATACAAGTAATTCAACAAAACAATGGCTGCAACAGCACAGAATACGCCTTCTGGAGTGGCCCAGTCAGAGTCCTGACCTCAACCCGATTGAAATGCTGTGGCATGACCTTAAGAGAGCGATTCACACCAGACGTCCCAAGAATATTGCTACACTGAAACAGTTTTGTGAAGAGGAGTGGTCCAAACTTACTCCAGATTGTTGTGCAGGTCTAATCTGCAACTACAGGAAACGTTTGGTTGAGGTTATTGCTGCCAAAGGAGGGTCAACCAGTTATTAAGTCCAAAGGTTCACATACTTTTTCCTCCCTGCACTGTGAATGTTTACATGTTATGTGCAATTAAACCATGGCAACCTCTAATGTTTGTGTAGTATTATGTTCAGCAGACTGTTCTGTTCTTCTATTGTTGTGACTTAGATGACTTCAGAGCACATTTTATGCCCAATTCATGCAAAACTCCACGTAATCCCAAGGGGTTCACATACTTTTTCTTGCAACTGTACATGGTGGTAGGCTGCTATAAGAAGCCCATTTATTTTGAAGGGACCGCAAAGCACCAAATTTGCAACACTTTTATTAATGCAGTACACCGTAGTGCACAGATTGTTTACATTTGTGCACTGTGGTTAGTGTTAGTGCATTTGAGTTCTATTCAGAATGAACAGCCTTGCACTGCACTGCAGTACATGCACTACTGCACATTTGTACTAAGGCTTGGTAAACACCCATTTTAAAGTGCATTAATGCAAAGCACAGGTGTGAACGGGCTATTATACTGGCAGAGTAGAAACGTGAGGACTTTGTCATACTGATATGTGGTTTGGGTGTAATTCTCATCTCTTTGTGGAGTAAAAGGTATAATTCCCTTTTGCATGCTTTTCAATCATTATTTTACAGGTGACCATATTCTTGCACTTTTTATGGGCTGGACCCTTACAGGCCATTGCAGTTACAGTTCTTCTTTGGTTAGAGATTGGGCCCTCTTGTCTGGCTGGAATGGCAGTACTGATTATCCTAATGCCTCTGCAAACTTGCCTTGGAAAATTCTTTACTTCATTAAGGTAACATTTATGTTTGTTTTTTTAAGCTTGTCATCTTTAAAACTTTGCACATGTGCCATACATTTGGGGTGTATGACAATATAGAGTTCTGTGAAATATTACTTTTTGAAAAATACACTCATACAGATGCACGTATGGTCAAGTACCTTCAGTTATGTGCTTATAGCTGTACACAGCATATTCTGTTATGCATGTAAATAAGCACAATTATGATTCAGCTGGGCACCACAACAAGAGACAAAATTTATTATATACAACTGCACGTCGTAAGGTACACCCATGTGCCAGAGTCCTTATTTTACTGTATTGATTTACTGATGGGACACAGGTGGACTTCTATTTATTAGCTGTCCTTGGAAGCCTGGTTAGTCTGAGCAAAAGGTAATATAAGTTTTTATTTTATAGTCGCCTTCACTCCATATTGAGCTCTAATAGATGATTCTTCACAAATAAGTATTTTGTTATCGAGACTTTTCACTAACAGCTAAAACTTGTCAGATAATTTCTGTCAGCTCCCGTGTTATTAAATGGCAACATCTAATGGCTTTTGAGATCAGTTAAAGTTAGTTAAGCAGGCTATATATGAGTCAGTGTTTTTTTTTTTTTTTTGTTCAGCCAGTGGGTTGAATGAAAAAAACTGACCCGATTCCTCCATCCACACAAATGATGTGGATGTGGGATTCCTCCATGCTGTGTCATTGCATTCTGACAGCTGGACTCCCCTGCCATCAGAATACACTGATCAGCACTGCAGCCATTTGGCTGCAAAAGCTGATTGACTGGAAATTTTCCAGCAGAACCGTTCATGAGAAGTTGATCGATAGATTAACTTCTTATGAACAGGAATGGTTATAGAAGGATCAACAATTTGACTAGTTCCTGCTGAACTAGCCAATTTCTGATCCATGTATGGCCAGCTTTAGAATCAGTTTGTAATTTGCTTTAGTTCCCCCATATAAGTCCATGTGAATGCATGACAAACACTGAAACTCACTGAATAATCCTTTTGCTAAATAAAGCATCACTACTCTGCCTTCCCTTAGAGCATATCCAAAAAAGCTAGTAGACCAATTTGCAAGATACATTTTGTCTTGTATTTTTAATTTAATTCATCCAGCAGTTTGAAATAAGGGGTTGCCTTTAAATTCATTATGCTTAGACAGAATGCAGTGTTCACAAGTGTGGTGTCAGTCTTTCCAAATTTGTATGCGCTTGTACTACTTTTTCATTTAGTCTAACTCATTCGCAGGGGCAAGACAGCAGCCTTCACAGACATCAGAATCCGAACCATGAATGAAGTAATATCTGGAATGAGAATAATTAAGATGTACGCTTGGGAACAGCCATTTACAGACCTTGTAAATCAGATTAGGAAGTAGGTTACTTTGCATTTATAGTACTATTTCATAATACCTTCACTGGCTTGAGTTTTTATTTCTATATCGCATTTAGTTACCAGCTTTTTTTACTTTGTTTCTGCTCTACTTTTTTTTTCTGTCCCAGTCATAGTTTGTGTTGGTCAAGTTAGTTCTATAGTTCATTAAGTAACCTCCAGTTAAGCAAAATGTCAACTCAAGTTGTATGAAAGCAGAAAGAATATGTTTGTCATAACAGTATTGTATTGATGACTTACAGCAATATGGGAAGATATAAAGGTGCATTGTTTTATCAAATCAAGTAATATGGTCTATAAATAATAACCCCTATATTTTACCCATTAGCTAAAAAGTTTGGTATGTGGGCTTCGATTGACTAGATATTTTCTAAAGCCTTTTACTAAAATACATTTGTATGTCTTTACACATTGCATAGCACAATTTCCTATTTAAATTGGTGATATTTAGATTTATTTATATATTATTTATTGTCTAAAGCCACTGATCAGATGTCATCTTTGATTTTCATTGTACCAGAAAAAATACCTGCGAAGTCTGTTTACTATGTGTGTGTTCCACATGCCTGTATCTGTGCTGCATATAAGAACTAATCAGCTTATAGATGTCATTTTTCTGAGGTTGCTGAACATTGAGCTTCTTAATAGTTCATAAGGGCAACACATGCATTTGGCTTCCTGTTTTTATCGTTTATCTGTCATTTTACCACTTTTGTATTATTCCATGTAGCTGATGTAGTAAGGTATACTTTTAGACTATTTTTAAAGGGGATGTTTTCTTCTCTTAATTGATGTGTGTATTTCTAAATGAATTCTCTGTGATATGAAAGGATTTAGCTTTTTTTGCTTTTATTCTTATAGGAAGGAGATTTCCAAAGTTCTTCAAAGCTCTTATCTACGTGGAATCAACTTGGCCTCCTTCTTTGTTGCAAGCAAAATCATCGTGTTTGTAACTTTCACCACGTATGTTCTGCTTGGCAATGTTATCTCAGCCAGTCGAGTGTTTGTTGCAGTGTCCCTTTATAGTGCAGTGAGACTCACTGTCACTCTCTTCTTCCCCTCAGCTATTGAGAGGGTATCTGAGGCCAAAGTCAGCATAAGGAGGATTAAGGTATGTGTGAATGTTTCAGACTTATATTTGGTGTCTTTACTTCACTGCAGTGTGAGTGGATAGACAAAAAGTGTTGTATTTTTTAAGTAACATTTGTTACTGTTGCCTGCAAAATGCCTCCTTCATTGAAAAATTCATTATCTGTACTAACCTGATACAGAATTTGTTATATGATTAAAGGGTGTCTCCAGCCAAACCTAATACTCTGAAGGATACAGCCTGTTATGCTTTCCAAAAAATATGTAACAATATGTAGACATTTTCTGATTCCTTACCCATGCTATGCTACATGGTAACAAAACCTTTCAGAACAGTTTTTCAGACACTACCACTTGCTTGTGTTTTGTCTGCTTTTGAAGAACATTTGTTTTTCAGCTGGTATCCTGCCATTGTAAGGATTTTAATGATAGCATGGTAAAGATTGGGTGTACCGCTCTAGACACTATGGGGTTGTTAGACTATAGGCAAATAGGCTGTTCACTTTTAAGGGAATTTTCCCTTAGCAAAGTGAATGTGTTAAAAATTCACTTTGCAAAGAATACTAAATCACATGCTTGTATGTGCGGGAATGATGAACATCAGCACAGCTTCACCGTATGCACTAAGCTAAGGGTAATTTCAATTGGAAAATGATCTGCATATTTTGCCTTTTGTAAATCAACCCCTACAGCTGTCAAGAAAGTAAATATAAGTTCATTAATTGGGCCAGGGTATTGAATTAAAACTCAATTAGGTCTGATCAGTACAATTTTCTTCCAGTAGAAATCTGAATCTCATATTTGTGCTATGACTCAGATCCTAGTATATATGTAGTCATTTTATGTCTCAAAAAAAAAAAAAAGAAAGAGCAATGTATAATTTCCATAGCATTTCAGTAAAATTTATTGTCAGTTTTTTTTTGTGTGACCCCTTACAACAGGCGTCCACATCAGAATGCCCCTTACATCAGGTGCCCTTAAAGTACCTTCTTACATCAGGTGCCCCTAAAGAGTTATGATGGCATATACAGTTTCCAGGAAAATGTTGGCTGATAAGCATAAATGCGGTCAACAGACCGAAAGAGACAAAAGAACATTGCGCCCTGACAATTCCCTGGACTCAATTGCTGCTAATATATGTCTTTCCTCCAGTGTGGATTCTCATTGCACCAAACTGTCTCAGAAGAATCTGTTACACAGACATACTCGGGCTTCTGGGAGACAACCCCTGGCCTCTTCCAAACGGGCCAGATTTGCTGTCTCAAGGCCCACTGCTCTATACTGCTTCTCAGTCACTGGCTTTAATGTCATGACTCTGCCATTCATACCTTGCTCAGAGGCAGAAAATCCTATTCACAAAAGATATACTGTGCTACCATACCTGGGAATCATATTTTGCCTGATGTGAACACAGGCTCTTTAATCCCGGAGATTACTCTGTACCTCATTTTCTGGCTTTTCTACTGTCGGGACTTGACCACAATTTGGCTTTAAGGGACAAGTTTTGGCCTTATCCCTCCTATTCCAGAAAGTCTCACTTTCCCTTGTAAGAACCTTTATTCAAGGTGTCTCACAGAATATCCTGTGTGTCCTTTGGATATCAATTAGGTTCGTTCTGTCCTTCAGTAAACACCCTTTTAACCCATTACGGTACTCCCTTTTGGTGATCTCTCATGCAAAAGTGGCCTTCAGCTCTGTCAGTTAGCGGCTCTATCATGCAAAGAAACTTTTATGATTATTTACAAAAATAAAGTGGTCTTGCATCTAAGACCCTAATTTCTACCCAATGTGGTTTCAGATTTGTGCCTTAATGGGAACATGATGCTTCCTTCTTTGTGCCATGCTCCAAAGCATCAGGAAAAAATTGCCCTCCGTTGTTTGGATGTGGTCAGAGCTGTTAAGGTCTATCTGACAGCCACAGTCACTATTGAAAAAACAAACTCTCTTTTCGTATAGGTGACAGGGTGTTGTCAAGGACAGTGAATAAAGGGGAGAGAACAATGTTCTTGGACAACTTGCCAGCCAGCTTGCTAACAACCGAATTAACCTGTCTAACAGTATGCGTTTATAACAGGGGTTTAGTTAGCACATATTTGCAAATACATACGTAAGCCACAGAGCCATGACACGGCACCCTGGTAATCTGTGGTCCTAACTCTAAAATTTGTGAGTCCCCATAGTAGAGGCACATGCATTTAATGGATAGATCATGGGCAGGTGGACCTGAGGGAGCCACCACTCTTAAAGGCAAAGGAGTGCACTGGACCCCAGCATGTAGCACAATGGCAACCAGGGTCCTAGTGCACCCACGTACCAAAATGCATGTTGTCAAGGACACCCTCCTTCTAATTCCACGGTCGCTAGGTAGATAAGACAATGCATTGCAAGCCCTTTGCTTTTAAGGAGACGATACCCCCAGTATCTCTTCATGCTCACTCCACAAGATCAGTGGAAGTTTCCTGGGCTTTTGTTGCCCAGCTTTGTAAGGCTGCCACCTAGTCTTCAGTTTATATCTTCTCAATGTTCTGCCAGGTGAATGTTTAAGACTCCGCAGATGCAACCTTCATGCACAAGGTGCTTTCATCAGTAATCTGATTTACCATAGGTCTTTGACTGTTTGTTTTCTTGGGCCCATTGGACTTATTACTTCAGGATGTCCCAGGGTCGTTGAATATCCAGTTTGTTTCCTGTACTGTATGATTTCCATAAAAGAAATGTACCCTTAAATGTCATTACCTGCAGTGCAATGCAGGACACATGCCACCCTTCTATGCTCAAATGCTTTGCCAGTGTCCAAACATCTGAAGGTAGCAGTGTATAAACCAGGGTCTCTGAATATCCAGCCTGTGTCCTTTACTGTACTCCAAAATATGGAATTTACGAGTAAGTCAGATTTTTTGGTGGGATGGGGGGGTTGTTTCCTTTTTATCACCAGGCATTTCCCGCCAGTAACATACTTTGTCCTTGGGTAGACCCAAACTGAACAGAGACACCCTTAGACCGCAGCATTGACAATCTGGGGAGAGGGTAGTGTTATATGCTCTAGTAAATTTAGATGGACTTGACTAACAAATTAAAGAAAATTTCCTGCTAAGACTTCTTAAGTAGTTACGGCAACAGTTTTTTTTTTCTTTAGGATAAAAATGTTAAAATCTGAGCATTGTACGCACCACTGTCTGTGTTAAATGGTTTGCCTCAACCCTCTGGCTGCCACTTTTGCTGGACAGCCTGGTCTATTAAAGGAATTGAAAAATAACAGACTTACTAGCTAGATCAACAGACAAAAATAAAATAAAAAAAGCTTAAAAAAACTAATGTGGCCACCACATCTAAGAATTGGTAAGCCGAAATATATAACATTTTTATTTTTGTGTTTAACACCATTTTATGCAATCAATTAGGGGTTAAAATTTGAGGGGTTAAGAATCGGTAACATATTTTAAACCCAAGAACAAAGATGTAATGTACAATATTGCACCGAAGAACAAAAGTGTTATAAATTGCAGTTTCCCAGTCCTTAGATGTGGTCTCTACTTTTTTTTTTTTTTTACTTTTTTTTTTAACTTTTTCACCTGGTAATCCTGCCAGTACTGCCAGGATGATGGAGAAGGGGCCTTAGCAAAGACACTGTCACTTTGCCCTCTATGGGAACAGTGACATTGGCTATTTAAGTGTTAAGGCTTTGGCCAGGGAGGTTGTTTTAGGCTAGGTTCACACCTATACAGTTTGCATTTGATCCATTCCTGCAGTGCTTTTTGCACATGCATTTTTGACGTATTTTTATGTGTTTTGCGTTTTGTTTTTTCATTCCAACTTGTTGTTGGGAAGTTAAAAACACAAAATGCATCAAAAACACATAAAAAATGCACTACATGCTTTTCTGCAGCTTCTCCATTGAAGTCTATAGAACAAAAAACGCAATGTTTTGTGTTTAAAAAAGACCCTGGCTCTTTCCAAAAAAACGCACTGGGTGAAAACGCGGAGATCTGATCCTGTCCCATAGGAAGTCATGTTAAATGGACTTCTGTTTGTTTTTGCAAAATGCTATGGAAAACACAGAGGTGTGAACCTAGACTTGCTGTAGGAACAGTTTTTTTGCTTTCTGATACTATGCAACACTGCAGTATTTTCAATAGTTTTCAGCATAAGCCTTTAACCAAATCCAACATTGCAAGACTAACTGCTGAAAAATAATTACCTTCTTTTGCACTTGCACTTTGCTACATTTGTAAAGAGCCGTCTAGTTGTACCTCTAGTAACCCACGGATCAGGTTCCCCCAGAGCGAGGAGTGTAAGTCCTGGTTCATTTGTTCACCAGGGCCCCTGATGGTGGGGATGGACTTGGAGTAAACCGAGACCAGATCGCGCTCCGGAGTACACCTATCCATGGTAAAGGAATTCGCCAGAGGGCCCCGCAGGGATAGAGTCTGATGTGAAGAGGCAAATATGCCCAGGCCAGGTGGATGGATGAGCGAGAGCGTAGTCAGACAAGCCGAGTCGGTAGCCGTGGGAGCAGTACGGTACAAAGCGGCGGACAGAGAATGGTCGAGTCACACGCCAGGTCAGCAACAGAAGATCAGGTCCATAAGGGGGCATCCAGGAGAGAGGTCAGGCAAGCCAGGGGTCAGAGCAGGAGAACACAGCAAGGTCAAGATGATCCGGGTCAGCAACAGTAACTCAACAGCACAGGTACAGAATCAAGGACACAGGGATGCAGGAAAGACCATTCGGCGATTCCTGTCAGTGCAGGGTGGATTTAAATATTGCGCCCTGCGCTGTCATTGGTGCCAGGCACGCACTCGTGGCTCCGAGTGCGCATGTGCGGATTTCGTCTCAGCCGCGGCCAGCCAGGACCTAGTGCCCGTACACCAGCGTGAACGGGCACACTGCGCCTGCGCCGAGCCGCGGATCGTGGCAGCTCCTGACAACATTTGTGCCACCCATGCTCACACTTTGCAGTCATACGTTCTTTCTTCCTGAATACTCCTAACATCTTGCAATGCATAGTCTGTCACCTCAAAA